CTAAAATCCATTTACCTTTCCAAAGAAAGTTCCAATACATTTAAAAGCGAGTGCAATTTCTGGAGTTGCAAATGTCTCCTGAAATTTTTACCTTCAAAAGAAGAAAAAAACACGTCTACCCACCCACACTTCCAACTCACTTTAATTTTCCAGTACCTATTCAATTTCCCTACATAGTCGTGTGTATTCAAGCTAATGTCAAAAGGAGATAGTTTGTTGGAGAAATATGGGTGAATGAGAGGTCGAAGTGGTGCCGCCCTTCATTCTATTCCATATCCCAGTCTAGGCTTTCGCATTGATAATGGAAAACCATGATATATGCCTAGGATGCGAAAAAAACAACCACGCAGAGGTCATGCTCGATGAATCTGCACCCGTTCCACTGAAAATCACGAGAGCATTACCCGATCAAATGCCTAAAGCCACGTCCAGCGGCGGAGACTTCTGCATCTCTTTCATCTCCACCAGTTACAATGGTTGTCTGCACCACCGCCGCATTGCAAGTCACCGCCTCCTTCAAATTAATGCACTTGTTCCACCTATAGCCAATGGAGAGGCCTCACATCTTTGGCTAATTGGCTGTGTGCTTCGATCCACCCACCATTGCTAACTCCCAAACAGCACCTTTGCCTGACCTCATGTCACGTATCGCCTTCTTCATTAGAGCTAGTGTTCAGTGGAAGAGATACCAGTTGGAGCCCATCAATAGAGCTTCTCTCTCCATTTGTTCGAGCGCTTGAACTGACTGGTCAGGGAAATCAATTCACCGGCACTAAAAACAGGGAAGATGAGAAGAGGTTCGACTGCTATGATCAGTACAGTTATGGCAGCCGCAATTTTACCAAGTAAATGCAAGCTATGATCAAGTGAAATCAGATTACATCGTTTTGCACCATCTTCCATAATTCCTTTAACTACTGAAAAACTGGGCATCACTCAGGTCCATCGTGTTGCTAATACGTTAAGGAGCCTTTACTGCTGCCCATTAGATCTCATGAATCACAGTGGGAACATCCTAACTGGTTTAAGCTCACGATAAAGACAGAACAATGAACTAAGCGTCGCAACAATCCCCATGGATGATCGGATTTGCTATATTTGCTGACTTTGACTTGGAAATTACACACAGACAAACACAGACAAAACTTGCAGTCAGATGGCCAAGGAGCTTAAGTTCAACGTCTGCTAATTGTTTGCGAACTGCACAAGCCCGAATCACAGTCATCAGACTTAAACGACATTTTGTAAAAAGAGGCTTCGGAACAGGAAAGTGGTAAGTGCCGCACACTCAAGGACACTTGATCCTCTCTACAAGTTACGACAGGTACGGATTTCCTTGATCAACTAATAAGTTAGATAACTACACTCATTGCCACATTCTCCCTATTGCGAGAAACTGCAGTTCTTGTGCATGGTAGAGACCCGGAAGAATAATCTTGACTAGAATACTGACACGTGGGAATTCACCTTCGCAACACATTTGGACAATCTAGAATGCGCTACAACTAATTGTGAAGACAACGTTGACTGAATGCGACAATTCCATTATTAATGGTTTTAATAATACCAACATGAGGGAATAAGCTCTTGTTCATGTTCATCGCGATCTTTGGGAATTGAAGTTAATGTTGGCTTGAGAGGTGTCGGATAACAATAATGTACTCACTGCACAGAAGGTCGCTTCTCATCTCTGCAGACGTCACCGGCTAATCAATGGGGTCTACGACACCTGTCCCCGGCTCCACGAGACACGTCTCCGCGTTCAATGCAGTTGCGCTCACACCTCTTAAATTGATGAAAGCAAATTGCTTCGATAAAGTTACCAGTTCAATTTACTTACAGACACGCCACATTACGGCGATTCCTATTTCTCTGCAAGAAATTGCCTAGGGAAAAAGTACCTGTCTTAATGTAACATTTGGAGGAGAGCAGTATCTGACGTTGAGGCAATCCAACAGGAACTTCCTTCAAGCAAACTTATGTTGCTCAATTTGGACCAAATCGTTTTTAGTAAAATTATAACAGCAAAGATTACAATTTTCGAAGCTAGTAAGGCAGAAATCGCTTAAACTCTAGGGGTTTCCAAAATCGTCTGCACCCGTGACATCTTCAATAGTGACATTTCCCTAACATCAATCTACAAAAGGACGCATATTGGAATGCTTGCTCGTACACTTTGCGAAAGCTCGACATCAAGAGTCAAGACCGACATCAAACTCCTGCACGGCATCAGTCATTAAGGCGATGTGGAAAAGGAAATAAATGAGATTCTAACGTCGAGATCCCAGCTCCAATGACACTTGATGTATGAGTTTTGTCTTCTCACTAGTCTCATCGTTCTGTGCAACGAGGTAAGATGATCATAGAAATCCTTAAAAAGATTCCAAAAAATTAACAGGGATTCTGAATTACTCAGACTGACGCAGAGAAGCACTAAAAGGATTACAAATATAGAGGGGCTTAGGAACCACCCCGTGTTGCAAGCTTCTATGAAACGAAGCGCTCTCGAAGCAACAAACCACCCACAGATAAATTTGCACCAATTTCGACAAAAAGCACACCACACGCCATGTTGCCTTGATAAGATATTCATGGTAGCATTTTCACCCTACAAACACAAGTCGTTTCGTGACATCGGAATACACTCGCAAAAGGGAGAAGGCTGAATAACGATAGGAGAGCTGCGAACTAAACAGTAAAACTCTAGAGTGGTTATATTCAGCAGCCTTCGCCATTTCATCCATATTCCGAGTTCAACATCAGACAGTTCTACATCAAACAGGCCAATGCATGACAAAAGTCTAGACTTATATTTTAGATACGTTGTAGTACATTGAAATAGAAATATAGGGACAGTATGATGTTGTCTACCTTGGGATCAATTTGTTCCAGCTTGAGAGGAAAATACGACGGTGTAATTTGAGAAAATTGGCACGCTCGATACTCCAGGAGTCAGCAGTCTTCTTGAGAAAGGGATCGTGGAAGTGCTGTA